TGGTACTAGGGATATTGTTGCTGATGTTAGATGGATCTTAGCTGAAAGCAGAGAATACCAGAAGAATGTCTGTGTTTCATTGATTATGCAATGGCATTTGACTGCGTGGATCATAACAAACTGTGGCTGACTCTGAGAAGAATGGGAATCCCAGAACATTTAATCGTGCTAACGCGAATTTAATAAGGTGGAGGTAGACTTCCAAAATTAAACTAGGGCAAAACAGATCTAGAGTTTTCACAAGGAGCTCATTCTTGTTTCAGTATTTGCATTGAAATGTGTGAGAGTTTGAATGTTTTTCTGAATCTCTAGATTTTCCTGCCTTTGACAGGGTACAATCTTTTTTTTTTAATAGAATACATGGTTTTATTAATGAAATGCACTTGGTGGACAAGGGTGCAATCTTAACACATTTCCATTACTGTCTCTTAGTGGCAAGTGTTTGCATGGCGTTTTTTTTGTTTTGTTATTTTTTCACTGACAAGTTCTGTCTTACATGCCTGGCATTCACAGGTTCTATTGTAATAACTGATTATTTGAGAATTCCACATTATTAGAGATGAGCTCATTATTCTGATAGTAGAAAAAGAAAGAGAAACCTAGAGCAAACACGTTTGGCAAAAACTGCAGTGATGAATTACTATCATGAGAATCTTCAGTCATCAGATAGTGTCATTTTGTTTGATATGGTGCTCAAGTATATAGAGATGAGAAGGCTAGTGCAAGGTTCAGACCTATTGTTTATAGGGTCATTATGAGTCCAGTACCTAACAACACGGACATCTAGTCAGAACTGGCTCATAAGTAACTATCAGAGTTGGGTTTTAGGAGGCTGTAAATTTCAGAGGAGGAAATTTCCCATCTTTATCCGTTAGATGCACAAGTGTATATTTGAACCTTTGGGTTAGCAAAACTCCTCACAAACTATAACACCAAAGCTCCCTACATTGTTGCCCTGTACCATCCACTCTGAACCGATCCTCCAGCAAGTTTTCAGAGGTAGTAAATCACAAGGGATGAGATTGCCCATCTTTCTCCTACAGAGAAACTGGTGGATTTTGATTGCTTGCCTTTGGATTGCCAACCCAATTCCTCTAACACTAAGCCACCAGAACTCCCTATAGGACAGAGGAATCTGTGAGAGTATTTGTTCAAGGATGCTGGAAAGCTATTTAAAGGGCTCCTAATGTGATTAAAATATAGCTGATAATTGAAGGAGTCTGGGAAATTCCACTAGAACTAGAAATTCATTTTATAACTCTGCTGAAGGAAGTTTGATCTTTGGCCTTTTACTTCAGGTAAGTTTGCTGTAATGACTTTCGCCAAATTTTTATTCCATCCAAGGAGCCCTTGGGGCATGGCACAGCACAGTGGTTAAGCATTCGGCTAACCAAGAGATCTGTAATTCCAACCCCCTTGCTTAGGGATTCTGTGTCACATGAGGTCACTAGGAATTGGAATCAGCTTGATGGCACCTTACAATAACTCTATATCCCATGCTTACATCTAAGCACTTACTCACTTCTACTGAAGTGTTAGGATTCGTATTTACTTAATGTGATCATACTTAATAGCTGTAGAATTTGGATTCAACAAACATGAGTTAAAGCAAGTTAAAAGGTTTGATGGCATGATTCTTTAAGTTTTTAGGGATTGCTTTTCAGGAGGATGGTCCTGCCTTATTTCAACAGCTTGCTTTAATCTACTTAAAATGATTATTTTAATTTGCATTTCTTTGCTTACTTATTAAGTCATTTGGGTAAACCACATGACGTTAACAAAATTGGTTGTGCTCCATTTTAGTTTTTTCTGGTTTCTTGCTGAAGTTAGTCTTCTCACTTTATCTTTTAAACTCACACTGTTTCGTGGAGTTTATTTATATCATGGTTAAAAGTTTAACTGCTTTGGAAAAGAGCTAAGATAGAGAGAAGCAGGTAGAAGATGGCATTAAGCACATATACTGGACTGAACTGAGTCTATGGTAGTGGGGTTGTAGGTGGAGTCATTCATAGTTGTTGCTGTCATCCTTCTAATTTCACTCTGACCACATTTTAACTATGCAGCCTCCTACATTGGTTTCTCTTACAGAGCATTTCAGAGCTATAACAACTAGATTTACGAGTAACTTCTGGATAATAAGAAAATACACTTGAAAAAAAAAAAAAAAGAAAATACACTTGTTGAATAAAGATCATTCTATAAATCACATCTTATTGAGTTATTGTCTCAAAGCTTGGAGGCATTGTGAAATTTAGAGAAGTGAATTCTGCAGAGTAAGAAACTTTATTAATATGTATAAGGCAAAATAATCTCCCACATGTACTGTTCCTGAGTATTTTCTCTGGTTTAAGTTATTCATAATACAGAATTTTATGTTTATATCAAATCCTTTTCTAGATTTCCACCAGTTACTGAAAATGGGTGTTTTTTTTTTAAAAAAAAAAGCATAAAGAACTTGGATTGTGCTGTCTTAGTGTTGGTGTCTAATTCTATGTGACACTTACATCATCTTGATATAGAGCCCCATGAATTGCAAAACATTACCTAAAAAGATTTTAGATAAGGGGCATTGATTTGTTATGTGTAATGGAAAAACTGTAAATGGATAATAATGATGGTTGTACAACGTAATTAATTAAATGCCATTGAGTTTGTTATATTTATTACAGCTTTTTAAAAAAGATTTTAGAACCTATGTTTGGAATGTTTAGGTTTAATGTATAATAGTTTATTTAACATGGTCATCTACCTTATAACTTCTCCAATTCCGTTTTCATTCTTTTTACAGATGCGGCATTCCAAACGCACTCACTGCCCTGATTGGGATTCCAGAGAAAGTTGGGGACATGAAAGCTACAGTGGAAGTCATAAACGGAAGAGGAGGTCTCACAGTAGCACACAGGAGAACAGGCATTGCAAACCGCATCCTCAGTTTAAGGAATCTGATGGGTAAATTACTTTTGAACTAATTCTAATAGTTTCTAGTGGTTTGTCATGTGCATATTTAATGTTTTAATTTGTCATTTGTTTTGGAATTAAGTAAGCAAATATTTATTCATTAAAAAGGTTAAGTATCTATTTCTTGGATAAACACTTTATAGATGCAGAGGCTGCAGCTGTGTGTAAAAATTCTTTTATATCTTTCTGGCAGTGGTTGAAGACAATATCCATAAGTGAATCTTAAACATTAAGTGCTCACTTTTATGCATGGTATTCTAAAGAATTGCCAAAAAAAAAAATCCTATAATTAGGCTGCCGATAAGTAACATAGTTAGGGAGATGAGACACATGTATGTGTTTACAGGTTCTGTTCGTAGATAAGTAATATATGTAGGGTAATATATATGTTTGGGTTTTTATCTCTGGTGGCATAGGCTGTAGGAAGCCAGCCCTCTGGCAGTTCAAATCCACCTTTAATTTTCTTGGCAACCATAAGAGTGAAAGATGGGCAGATATCAGCCTTTAAAACCCAATGGTGGGTCGTAAGAACCATTCCTTAGGCAGTAGCCAGTAATTTAGAAAAGGATATTTAAGTTACAAATTCTAATAGCTAGGAATGAGTATTAATTAAAATCAAATAGTGTCTGTTCTGTTTTATTATATTCATAACTGTAAAATTTGGAGTTAAAACATTTAAATAGTGCTCATTTTTAAAACTCCTAAATGAAAGACCTGGTGAATAGAGTTTCTTTTCACTCTGTTCTTAGTTTTCCTTTCTCATGTTTTGTTGGTTCTATGTTTCTCCATTGAGACTGTTTGCCAAATTGATTTCCAAATTAGCCAGATGGGGTTACTTTAAAAAAACAGTATGTAGGGGTTTTTTTTCCTTCTCAATGCTAAATAGACTTGTCTGCAGAACAGTGAGCCTTGCAGTCAATGTAAATTATTATCCATCACACTGTTTTATGGAGGCAGAGTTTACGATGGAATTTTAGTTACCAGAACTAATTGATGTTTATACTACAGGGAAAAATGTGTGTATAATTATTAGTAAGTAAAATGAACTCTCTGTAAGCTAATATAATAATATTTAATTATTCATATATTACAATCTTCAAGTGATAAACATTTCATTCTTGCTCAGAACTCATTAATTATTCTAAAATACTGGATCAATCCTAACCTAGTATCTTCTTTCTTGGAAATTTTGGGTAATAATTGCTCTTCATAAAACAAAATGTTCTGGTTGCCTGTTTGAAGATTTTAAAACTTTATTGCAGGATAAAATTTGGATTTTTATCCTCCGTTACTTGGATATAATATGTATATACACACACGCATCTTTGCCTCTTATTATTTTCAAAAAATAGATTGTAAAAGGGGTAATTTTCAAATTGAAGAATTTATTCTTGTATGACTCTTGCTATAAAATCAACTTCCCCCCCAAAGGTTTTTTCCAAGTTTATTCCTATAACATACTCTTCAAGGGTAGTATTTTGTTTTCATGTTAAATTTTGGTGTGTCTGTCCACTTTTGTATCCTATTGACTTGGATTTTTTTTTTAATTCTTTGTCATTTTTTCTGTTAAAGTGCCTTTTTTTTTCCTTTCTTACTGGCTTGTAAGATTTTTTATGATATATTATCAACCCTTGTTGTATTTATAAAGGAGCTCTCAGGGCCTGGTACATGAGTTGCATTGTCAGTAGGCAGTTTGAATTCATTAGCTGCTCTATACGAGAAAGATGTCTATTGTCCTGCAATCTGGAAATTTGCTGGAGGGTCAGCTCTGAGTCACTACTGAGTCAATGGCATGTAGCAACAGCAGTGTCCTATCTCTAGCAAAATATCTTTTTTAAAGTAACCTGTGAATTAGTAATCCTTCCTACAGGTTTTATTCTATTTAAACGTCACCTTTATATATTGTGGTCACAAGCCTTATTAAATACCTTTCAAATGCAATATCAATTCTTGGGCCATTGATTCTCAAATTTTAAAGTAAAAGTAATTAATTCCTTTGGAAGTATGTTTGAAATGCAGAATGCCAAATTTAGGAAAGGCCCAAGAATCTATCTTTTTTTTAACAGAAATTCCATATTCTGATATAGATGACAAGCAGCACTCCCTTTGAGAATATTTTGATGATATATATTTATCATATATCTAGATAAAAGGGAGCTCTAGAGGCAAGAAGCTGCGCTGCAATCCCAAAGGCGCGTAGTTGAGGCCACCAGCTCCTCCACGGGAGGATGGGCAATCTCCTCCCATGTGAATAACTGCCCACCAGAGGTCAGTTCTGACTCTGTGGTACTCAACAACATATCTAGATAAATAAATAACATGTTTGGAAGCAGGAGTGACATCCACTTCCTAAATAACATCCCTCCAGAAACTTGATGAACTTTGATAAATGTCAATAGTTGTAGAGGCTTCAAGCCTTTTGTTCATAGGGTCACTATGAATCGTGCTTGACTCGAAGGCAATCAACAACAACAACAATATTTGTCATACATTTAGGGAGCTTTGGTGGCCTAGTGGCAAGAAGCTGCACTATAATCCCAAAGGCACACTGAAGCCACCAGCTTCTCCATAGGAGAAGAATGGGCAGTCTCTTCAACTGCCTCTGAAAACCCGCCAGAGGGTCAGCTATGGCTCAGTTCCAACTCGACAGTACACAACAACATCATTATCATTTAGCTTATTTATTTGCCTATATCTCCCTATGTTGAAAACTCCTCTTGCTCTCCTGAGGAGTGCTTACACAGATCCATCCCCAAGCCTTTTTGGATGTTGTCTAAATATGAAATGGTAGTTAAGAAATTTCTTTCAACTTTGTTCAAGTCCTGACTTCCACTTAAGATACAACTCTGTTGCCATCTTTTTTAGGAAAACCCTGACACCGTAAGAAAACTCTGTTCTTGCTTTTTATAGCCCTGGAGAGTCATATATGACTCTATTGTTTCCTACTCTTGGGTTTCTTTACTTTTTATGTGAATAATATAGTATTGCTCGTTATTTGCTGGCAGCACTTTGCCTTATATCAGTTTTTAACTCCCACACTACCTGTATGGAAGTAAATACAGATCTTTATGAGTTTTGGCTTTTTTTAAAGACCACAGTGAAATATTTATGGAATAGCTAGTGAATATTTTAAAAAATTAAATTGCTCTGTTCATCCCATCTATGTATAGACTTTATAATTTTATACACTTTATTTGTGTTACCTCCAAACCTGGTCATTAAAGATTGAAGAGCAGATCATCTTTTTGTTTATCCTCATGATGTTCCTTCATCCCATGTTTTCTTTTTCTGTTGACTCTTTATGGATAACTAACTCCAATTGCATGTAATAGTACATTTAAAGGTTCTTTGCGTTAGGTTTTTTTTTCCTAGCAGATAGAATTGTGGCTGTTTATGAAGAGGATTCCCTTTAGAGTATGGTCATTTTTAGCCTTATGTGTTATAGCTATCTCCCTGACATCTCCAAGCCTGATGATCAGATCCCTAACATAACTTCTTTGGCCTTAATATCCTTAGTTGTTTCTCCAGGAAGTAGAGCAGGCTTACACCGGAGGAAGGGAAGGAGGTTCTTGTAGCCTCCCCAGCGGTGGATATGATGCTAACCATTGGATAGCAATTTTAGAGTTAGTACTTTCTTTCTTTTGAAGCCAGCTTCTAGAAAAAAGAATGTCATGTTCTATGTTCTGGGGAAGGAAAGGGGTTGGTGAGGGCAATCTATTCAACATCTATCACTCCATTGCTTGTCAGAATTATTTTAGCTGATTTGTCTGACTGGGCAGGTGTCCCCTCTCTCCCTCAGTGCTCCATGTGCATCCCTTTTGAAGCTTCGCATTCTGTTGAAGAGGACACTCATCCCAGGTAGAGAGGGGGATGGGAAGTTGGGCCAATTGAATCTAAGTCCTTTTCTTTCCACCAAATAAAGGCAATTTAACTGGAATTACTGACTTTTGAAATTCTTTACCAATTCTTTGCTTTTCTTGGATAAGGTCCATTGCTTTCATTAGCTTCTCAAAGGCTTAGAAGTCAGGCGCTGTGGTATTAGATGATGCTATGCTGTCCACCATGTTCAACTCTTGTTTGTTTCTCTGATAGGATTGATAAGATATTAGAGTGAAGAATGGTATAGAATAATTTCTGCAATCTGGGCAGGCAAGAAGGAAAACTTGCCTTTTTGAGGGAGAGTATGTTTTCAATGTCCTTGATATCTGAGGCCATCCTGAAAAACCTTATTGTCTATTTCTCAATCATAGTACGAGGTTAAAATACAAGCAGGAAAGAAGAACAGGATTAAGTAATGTGTATAATAAAATTGGCCAGTATAATAAGGGTTAGAACAAAATCTCAACTATGACAAATAATTTTTCTCTCAGAGATCTTAATTATATCATCTGTAAAATGAAAGGGCTGGAATACATTTAAGGTTCATTCCAGCTTTAATAACCTTTCATGAAAGCTTTCTATTAAGTGCCAGGAGATAACTAAAATACTCTTTAACACTAACAGGATAAGGAATCTTGTTTTGCCTGCCTCTTAATTCTGTGTGGGTAAGTGAGAGAAGAGAAAGCCTAGTTCCAGATGCGTATGCATCACAATTTTGTGAGTTTTGTCATTTAACTTGGTCCAGAAGGTAAAGGAACACTAAATATAATTGGGTGATTTAGCTCAAACTGTTTCTTGGTATGAAATGCCTGACTGCAATTTAAATAATGGAAAGTTATGGACTCATTAACTATTTAGTTTTACAAGAAAAAATGTAGTCAATTTGAAATAATTAAAAGAATGTTTTGTCTGAGCTACATTGTTTTAGGATGAAAAGAATAATTTTATGTCCTTTAATGTTTTGCAGTCATTATTTAGAAGCAAGGTCCTTGAATGAGAGAGATTATCGGGACCGGAGGTACATTGATGAATACAGAAATGACTACTGTGAAGGATATGTTCCTAGGCATTATCAAAGAGACATTGAAAGCAGTTATCGAATCCACTGCAGTAAATCTTCAGGTCAAAGCAGGAGAAGCAGTCCTAAAAGGAAGCGTAATAGACACTGTTCAAGTCATCAGTCTCATTCGGTATGATTGCTTCGGGTTTTATTTTGGGTGGATTCTTAATTGTGTGTAAAAGTTCTTAGTGGGTTGATAGGTTGGAAAAGTGCCTTTATATGTACAGTACTGTTATTAGAAGTAGGTTTATATTAAATGAATCCTTAAAGGAAACATAAAAATGCTTAGCTTGAAATCTTGTGTATTTGTTAGCTAGGCCTCATTTCCAACATTTGCTCATTTTCTGCAGAGGAGATCATGAGTTTGATATTAACACGCACCCAGATTTTCTTTTATATTGTTTTATTTGAAAATAAACTCCTTTCCTAGTACTTGGAAGTAAATTTGGGGAAAATTGCACTGGTAGAAACTTAAATGTTGTTTATCTGAATATAGCAGCATAATTTCATAGCACAACATATTTGTCTACGCCTAGTTGAGTTGAAATTTTTAAAATGGGTGCTAAATGGGAAATAAAGTATCAAAAACAACTAGCTTTTTTGGTACTCACATCTCACCTTAATTAACTTTTAATATTTTTCTTCCCAATGTTCTTTAAGGAGAACATTGAAATTAGTCTTTATCTTTTCCCCTTTTGTGTTAATCATGTATGTTTAAAAATATTGCTAAGTATGACAAATTTCAACTAGGTTTGACGTTTTAAAACATTTTTTTGACAAATAGCTTATGCTATTTATAGCAAAAAAGTAGTAAATCATGACATTGCATTCTTTAAATCTCAGACTTCATTTAAATCAGTATTTTAAAGAGACAATTGTGTTGTTTTTTTCTATTGCCACTTTAAGTATCTTATCTGAAAATCTGTTCCTTGCCATGTTTTTCTTCTGTAACATAAACTGTGCCCTGTGAATTTCTGGGGACTGAATTTGAAATTGCTCCTGCCAACTGTTCGTGGCCTGGTGCTTATCTGAATGCCTGAATATCTCCCCGCTGAATGAATTGCGTATTCTGCCCTGAATTCACTCTGATATATTGATTGGCTGGACGATCTTGGTGCTGCCCACTTGCCGTTCCAGAAGAGCCACCGAAGGAAAAGATCCAGGAGTATAGAGGATGATGAGGAGGGTCACCTGATCTGTCAAAGTGGAGACGTTCTAAGAGCAAGATGTATAGAATATTTTTCAACACTTTTTAAACTTTGCAGACAGAATTATCTTTTTTAAGACTAGTTTATCAGCGGGGGGCTAAGGAACTCTTCATTATTGTTTTGTTTTGTTTTTTGTGGGTTTGTTTGTTCTTTTGCATATCTTCTTTTCTGTAGAATTTAAATATTTCTACTCTAAAGTTCCAAAATAATCAGTGGAATTTGAAATTAGAGCATGAAAGATAGCTCTATCTAATTGTTTTTGTAGCAGCTGAAAATAAAATAATTTTGAGTGCTGAAGCCTTAGTTATGCTTTGATAGATCATTTGAAAATATTCCACTTTTAAGTATTCATTATTTGAATAACTTAATCATTTGTACTCAGATGCTTAACACTGTTTTCCTTCCACCCTCCCTCTTTAGATGAAATCGTGGATACTCTTGGTGAAGGGGCTTTTGGCAAAGTGGTAGAGTGCATTGATCATGGCATGTAAGTTTTTTGGTTTTACTTTCTTTGATAATTCTGGTATCTTTGGTGTGAAAGGTCCATAATTTAGGTTTAAGGTATTTAAATGATACCCATGTAATTTCTTAGAAGGGATAGTCAACAGTATTTTTTTAATTATATGATTAGCTTACCGTGAGTGGATTTTGATCAAGAATCCTAAAAATCCAATCAACGATTCATTGAAATTAAAGGACATGTTCAAATGAAAGTATGATGTAGTTAGGCCTACCTCTTTAAGTAGAGATTTAGAGTGGTTTTACTTTTTGGTTTTGGATTATAGAAACAATGAAGCCTGTTTGAGGTGAAAAACATTTATTCCAAAAGAATAATATATACATTTTATCTTTAACTTCCTAAGCTCAAATGCATATGTATTACTTGCAGCCTACATTACAATGTCAACATTCTTTAATGAGGCACTCTAAGCTCTCTGTAACTTGACCTTTATACCTGTGGTTTATAAACCTTTGTTGGTATCCCTCTTTAGAATTTTTGTAAAACTGCATTTTTCTAAATTACCTCCTGAAAGTTTCATCACAAACCTAAAGGAGGCAGATGTGTTTTTGAAACGAGGACAAAAATTGAAAATTCTCATTCATAGCACTATTCTTAGGAATGCTGCAGTCCTGCACTGTAGTTTTTTCTACCTACTTTCACCAATTAATATGCTAAACATTTTCTTGGCTTCATTAATATTTACTTTGCCTGTGTGTTCTGTTTCTATCTCACATTTGACAGTTTATCTGTCTTTTCTGGGCCCAGTTCTATACCTCTGAAGTCTGCTTTCTCCTTGTTCTTAGAATCACTGTATTCTAAGCACTTCTGACATAATGATACTTTGTTCAAGTATCAGTGAGGCACATAGCCACAGTTCTCACCCTTTTATCACTAACACTTCATCTGTTTATGTCAGTAGGTCTAGTCTGGTAAATTTATTATGATTCAAAACTACAATGGAACAAAAAGATATTGGCTCACAAATTTGTACTAAAATTTGTACTAGTGGGAGTTTAGGATATTTTCACTAGTAGCATGTTCTGTATTTGGTTTAAAATTCTAGAAACAAACAATAAAATTAATTTGATAATAAGGAAATCATAGCTCCTTAATAAAGTTTGTCACTTACTTGGAGGAACTTTTTTTATACAATCTAATGTACTAAGTTTGGTTTGTTTGGGTTTTTTTAAATAAAAATAACAAAACTGACAAGACTTCTTTAGCAGAAATATTGCTTCAGTCCACTTAATGTATTGATTAATTTTCTTTTAATTTTGTTTTAAGGAATGGCATGCATGTTGCAGTGAAAATTGTAAAAAATGTAGGTCGATACCGTGAAGCAGCTCGTTCAGAAATTCAGGTGTTGGAACACTTGAATAGTACTGATCCTAATAGTGTCTTGTAAGTATAAACTTGAACTATGAGCTTTAATATTACATAATCAGAATCAGAATTCTTTGAATGAATTTATTTTTGTTTTGATGTGTTTTAGCCGATGCGTCCAGATGCTGGAGTGGTTTGATCATCATGGTCATGTTTGTATTGTGTTTGAACTGCTGGGACTTAGTACCTATGATTTCATTAAAGAAAACAGCTTTCTGCCATTTCAAATTGATCACATCAGGCAAATGGCATATCAGATCTGCCAGTCAATAAATTGTAAGTATATACAGAAAGTAAGTAAGTATATACCAGAAATTTAAAGTTGTTATTAAATGAGCAGCACAAAAACACATTGTCAGTAAAAATGCACTTATTACAGGTAAAACTGAAACCCCTTCCTAAACTCCCACTAGTACAAATTTCATTTGTAAGCTAATAATGTCTTTTGTTCCTTTGTAGTTTTGCATCATAATAAATTAACCCATACAGACTTGAAGCCTGAAAATATTTTATTTGTGAAGTCTGACTATGTAGTCAAATATAATTCTAAAATGGTAAGTTAAAGATGAGTTCTAATTTTGGTGACTGTTTCTCAAATATACTTGGTAACCCTTAGGAAAGTTATTTCATACCTTAAGCTCATGGTATACCAATATTTAAGCAAGGGTAATCCTCCTTTGCCTTTCTGATGGGATTGGGGTAAAAATAAAAATTATAATTATGACTCTTGCTTTACAATTTACTTCACGTCTTTAATGATTGTCATGTTTACCCAACTCTGTCTCTAGAAACGTGATGAACGCACGCTGAAAAACACAGACATCAAAGTTGTTGATTTTGGAAGTGCAACGTATGATGATGAACATCATAGTACTTTGGTGTCTACACGGCATTACAGAGCTCCAGAGGTGATTTTGGGTCAGTAGAACCAGATTTCTTTTTTTTTTTTTTTTCATTTAATATTTTTTTATTGTTATTTACACATAGGTTTACAGAATATGTTGGTTTTTCTTCAGTCATTCACATGTTTTGTTTTATAGCGTTTAGTATAATATCCATAAGGCAATCACATTTTTCCTATTTCCTCCCTTTAATTCTAATTTCCATTAATCCTCCTATCCTACTAGTTCTTGCCTTCAAGACTTTATCTTGGGTACATGTCTATCTCCTTAGTGGTGGTGGACTTGCTAGTTATTCTAAGGAGTGTGTCTCCCTGGTGTTTCCTATAGACACAGTCTTGCTGGAAGCCCAGGCCACATCTATGGCCTGTGTTCAAGTCATCCCTCTTTTTTTTGGGTGGGGGGGTTGTTGTTTTCAGGTTTCCTGGGGGAGAGGGTGGCAGAAGGTAGCCTAGATAAAATTCTCTGGATACCCTAGGCATTTTTTTTCCTACCCAGGGGTCAGATGGGATAATCTGGGGACAGGGGAGCTCACCCCAAGCTGAGGGCCAAGGACAGCCTGCCCCGGGCAGGGCTACACACCCCCATGAGCTGGCTGGTAGACTCCCCCTGTAATTTCCCCCACCCCAATCTGGTCCCCTCTCCTGACTGAGGACTGTGTTGTCAGGGACATCTTCTCTAATTCCAGTACCACCACTTTTACCCCCCCCCCATAAGTGGTCATACTGTAATTTGAAGTAGGTCTCATTGCCCTCCCCCTTTATAAATGGCAAAGGGAACCTGAGAATTGTGAACAGGCTTCCCCCAGGTCTAAACAACTTTTGGCAGAAGCATTCAACAGATACGTGGTGCATTTTAGGATATCGGTCCTCTTGTACATGCTGCCACTGTTAAGTGTCATCAAGTAGACAACTCACAGTGACTTTCAACAATCAGTTGTATAGGTGATCATCTTGTCTGGCTTTCCAAGGAAACCCAAACTTGCAGGCAGCTCGGCACTCCCTTAACTGTCCTCGCAGATCTCCCACCAAAGTCTGTTTTAAAAGATGGCGTTTCCCCACAGAACTCTGGGAGTTGTAGTCTGTACCTCTGGGAGCTGTAGTCTCTGGGAGTTGTAGTCTGTATGATTTGAAGGTAGAGGGGTTTGGGGTGGCTGGGTCACATGCCCTGGCCCGGCACTCCCTCCACTGTCCTCACAGATCTCCCACCAAAGTCCGTTTTTTTTCCAGTTAATTTCAGTTAATTTTTTTTATAACGTAGTATTCAATAGATTTTTACTGTATGGAAATGTCATTAATACCCACTGATTGCATGGGTTTACTGCTTCTTGTAGAAGTTTTGTAGGTAAAGTAGAAGAGCAATGTTGCATTCTCATATATAATAAATTGTTACATAATATCATCTTGATGGGAAAGAGAACTAGTGAAGTTTCTTTGAGGTTATATTTCACTTGTAGCTATTTTGCTTCAGGCTTTCATCTGAGCAATTATTTTGCTAATAACCAATATCTGACTTTTTCTGCCTTGGAAACTGTTAGATAACCTCGGAATATATTATTTTGTATTAAGAGTTATGTTTCTCTGTAAGCTCTCCTGCTGGCTAACCCACCTTCACGTCATCTTTCAAAACTATTGATAGTTGGATTTTCATAGTTTCTTACTTATTATCCTCAGTCTTCTAGGTCATAGTGATTTATGCCTAGTGTTGTTTCTCTTCTTGTTCCTGCTGTCATCTTCTGCCTTAATCCGTCTTCCTATCAGCTGTCTGCTCACAGTTTCTTCACACAGAAGAAACACAATAATAAACAAACTAATTATTTTAATAAAAGTTCTGACTCAAATTCCTACAGTCTGCATCGTGCAGTGTTGGTCTCTGCATGCTGCTTTGGTCTCTCTGATGGCCTGTTTCTGTGCTGCTTGCCGCTCCTCCAGCTTCTTTTGCTGTTTCATCCACCACCGCCATCTTGGTTTGATTTTGAACCAGATTTCTGTTAATATAGTTGAAGAACTGTTTGTTCTATATTTCGTGCTAGTGGTGTGGGACCCTTGACAGGATAGATTAACACAGTGACTATACAATGGGCTTAAGCATAACAAATTGTGAGGATGACACAGCATAGGGCAGGATTCAGAACTTTTGTTCCTAGGGTCGCTATGAGTCATAGTCAACTTGACAGCACCTAATGGCAAGCAGCAGTGGTTGAAGAATTTTTTAGTGCTCAGAAATAATTTTCCATTTTCATAAAGGCTTTGTGGTCTAATTTTTAGTTGCTAGGTAGGAAAAAACAATACCAACTGAAAACGAGGAGAATATGATCACAGTATGATTTTGAAATGATGATACCTCTCATATCATAACAGTTATGTCACTTAAATAATAGACATGTAGGGCCTCGAATACTTGTAATAGGGCTCATGTAATTGAGGAACTGAGTTTTCAATTTTTAAAAAAATTTAAATAGTCATATAAGGTTGTTATTAGATGCTGCCATGTCACATACAACCCACAGATCTGAATCCTGTCCTATGCTGTGCCATCCTTGCACTTTCTGACATGCTAGAGCACATTGTGGTAGTCACTGTATCAAGCCACCTGGTTGGTGATCTTCTCCTTTGCAGACGCTCTGCCTTTCCAAGCATCATGTCCCTCTCCAAGGAATAGCCCTTTCTGGCAACATGCCCAGAGTATATGAGGCGAAGCTTTTTAATTTTTAGGTTTGAAGAACACTCTAGCTGCACCCTCTCTAAGATGTATTTGTTTGTTCTTTGGGCAATCCCTGGGATGTTCAGTAATCTTCTCCAACACCACAGCTCAAAGGCATCTAATTCTTCTGTCATCCTTATTCGTTGTCCACATTCACTAACATGTTACCGGACACTTAGCTTAAGAGCATGTTTTTAAAATGGATTATAGGAGCTCTGCTTTAACACGTTGCTGCAGATGTGTTTTTAAGCATGGTCATCAATTTAAAAGTGTGCAGCAACGTGTTAGTAAGGCCAGGAAGGAATGGCTGTGTTGTGATAATATAGAAAGAATAATGATGTTGAGGATGGAACTCTAAAGAACAAAGAATGGACAAAGATATTTTCAGAGCCTGAAAATAATAAATTCCTGTACTGTATCAATTTTAAGATGCATATTTTCCCTCACATTTTAATACCTCTGAAGTTGGAACAAATACTTTTTTCTTGTTATTTTTGAGTACCATCAAGTCAGAGCTGACTCATAGCTGACCCTAGTGGGTTTTCAAAGACAGTTAATCTCAAAGGAGGAGATTGCCCATCTTTCTCCTGCAGAGCCTTTAGGATTGCAGCACAGCTTAACTGCTAGGCCACCAGAGCTCCCTAATGATTATGCATAGTCATCCTGAAAGGACATCTACAGATCCCTCTGTGTGTGGACTTAAATTACTTTGTAATTTCCATTTTTAGATGGAACTCTATATAATTCTTAGAATATTTATTAAACAGTGTTTTTTACAAGAAAAGAGATATACTCTTTATCTGGTACATCAATAAAGAAGTGACCCTACAGCACAATAACTGACAACCCAAAATCAGGCACTTTGCCCAAGGGAGAAAGATGAGCAGTTTCTTCCCTTGTGGTTACGAGAGCAGAGAAGAACTGCCCCATAGGTTTCCAGGGTAACAAATTGTTTCATGAGTGGCTGGTGGTGTGAATTGCCAAACCTTTCAATTAGCTGTAATTCACTTAAGCATTGTGCCCTTGATAATTGATAACTCATTGCAGTTGAATTGGAATCAACTCTGCTAACACTCCATTGAGTTTAAAAGGTTGTTAATTGCATAAAAAGAGATAGCCATCTTTCTTCTGATGAGCCACTAGTGAATTTGAACTACCAGAAAGGACCAGCTGGTAGTGTGTGCGTAGAGAATTGCACTGCTAATCCAAAGAAGTGGCACCTTTGAAGGTTTGAATCCACCTGCGACTTTTTGGGAGAAAAATAGACAATTTCCTGCTATGCAGTTTAGAGTTTTGGAAAACCTGCTGGGGGGGTCAGCCAAGAGTTATTTCCTTCCCAGTAGACTTTGTAAAGGTAGCATCCAGATAGAGAAGAATTTTGTAGGTTGGATACTAAAAGTTGTCACATAATAAAATGTTCATCTTTGTTTTTAAATAGCTTTAGGTTGGTCTCAGCCTTGTGATGTTTGGAGCATCGGTTGCATTCTTATTGAATATTACCTTGGCTTCACAGTCTTTCAGGTATGTATGTAGAAATAATCAGAAAATAATTAGAAGAAGTGCCATACCTCGGGATTCTTGAGGTTAAAAACATGCATATGCAAAATTCCTCTCTAAAATCACAGTTGAATGAGATACTGCAGTTTAGTGATTGGTCATAGTTCATTTTGCATGTCATTGGGATTCATATAAGGATTACATTATCTTACACTTCTTTTGTTTTTTTCTTTTTTTAACTTACAGAGCTTTTTATACATTTATATTGGCATTAATGTGGCCAATTTTAAAGAAGCTCTGGTGACCTAGTCAGGGAATTTTGCTGCCAGTCCAAAAGTATGCAGTTACAGCCTCAGAAAATCTGCCAGAGGGTCAATTATTGAGTCAGTTCCAACTAAACAGCAGTGAGGTGTTGGGTTGTTATTGTTGTTGTTTTAAGCTAAGTGTTAGAATGCTCTTGTGGCCTAGTGAGTAAAGAGTTGCACTTCCAGCCCAAAGGCAGGCAGTTTGAGCTAATCTGGGGGAGAAAGATGGGCAGTCTTTTCCTATATGATTTACAGCATCTGAAAACATGATGAGGGAGGGTCAGCTGTGAGTCCATTCCAACTCAGCAGCAATGAGAGAGAGAACAGAAATGTAAGTAACAGATTAAATGAGATGGATTTTCTGAGATTCTTCCTCAGTCATTTCTTAAATAAAAGAGTGGAAAAAATTAATAAAGCCGTTTACATTTATATTAAATAAGTTTTCACTGTACAGAACCTTGCTGGTTCATTTACAGAAAGATTTTTAATTTTATAATGAAAAAGACCAGGCCTGATAGAGATAGGAACATCAGGTTTCCACTGGTATGATAGAGACCAGTCACCTTTTGAGCCTGGCACTCTGACAGTACAGTCCGTAAGGTGCTGCTAACCCAAAAGTGATGCCTCTCTGGTAGTTTCAATTCACCAGCAGATCCAAGGGAAAAAGAGGGGTATTCACCTCCCTTTTAATTTACCACTTCTGAAAACCTGCTAGAGGGTCAGCTATGAGACAGTTCCAACTCAATGGTGGTGAAAGAGAGAAGCCTGGAACCGAATTCACCCCTCGCTCCACTAAAGTATGCATTATTGAAACAATACAAGGTCAAAGAGCAGCATTTGCCCAGAGATAAAAGCTTCAATGGCAGGGAGGGCTAGAAAAGGACAGGCAAAAAAACAGGAAACACCTGAAAAGGGAAGAGTGCAGGGATTACAATCAATGGCACAAAATACATGGAATGAAAAATTGGTAAATTATCATTCATTGCAAGAAGTTGGAGTTTTGTTTTTTGTTCTTTACAAAAATAAAGTACAGAAACCTGTAGGTGAGAAGGAAAAGACAGACTTATGTTGTTGAGTTTAGAGCACACAATAAAACTCTTAGGATTGTTCAGTCTGAAATATAAGGTAATTGATACATGTGAGGTAGGCTGGTCCTGTCCTTTTATGTCAGTACTGTTTCTGTGTATTGTCTTGTAATGTTCATTATGGGGGGGAAGAGAGTACTAATTTCTTTTGTGCTTTTTTAGACTCATGATAGTAAAGAACACCTGGCAATGATGGAACGAATATTAGGACCTATACCAACACACATGATTCAGAAAACAAGGTATGCTTTACAGTGAAAGCCTTTAGTTAAAGTGCGTTCAAAACCCAAATCTTAACACTTGTTCCAAAAAATGCAGAATTTGATATTTTCTTATTGTGCTAGTGAGAATTTATTGCATCTCGCCCTTTTTCAAAGGTGAAATTTTAAAAAATTAATGGTGTTTTTTTCCCGTGTAATCTAATAAACACCATGGGTTTTTTACAAACACCATGGTTTTTTTACACTTCAGTTAGATTTTGTATAACTGTTTCTTAACTTAATATAAAAATGATACATGGAACAGTGGAAACAGTTTGTTCTTTTTGTACTGAGAGCTAAATTTTCATTCTATACTTTGGTGATCAACTGTGTGTCTTTACTATAATGGCTCCAGAACATAGCTTCACCACAGATGTAACCTAAGGAATTAGTTAACTATTTCTAATGAAATCAGAATCCATAGGAATTGATTCAAGAATCTCTGGTTAGAAGCTGATATTATCCATGAATTGTATTTTAAAATTATAGGAATACTAACCCTCTGAATAGTAGATTAAAATGTTATGTAAAATACCTGCTAAAAAATCTTTTTTAAAATGTCTATGTGTATATGTGTATGTAGACATACAGAGATTTTGTTGTTTTACTTACCTAGTCTTGTTTTTCTTGTAGAAAACGCAAATATTTTCACCATGACCAGCTGGATTGGGATGAGCATAGTTCTGCTGGTAGATACGTTCGGAGACGCTGCAAACCATTAAAGGTAAAAGGAGGAAAACCCAAAACAAATTAATATTAGGAAACACAGGTTTTTCACTGTTTAATAGCATCTAAAAGTAATTTTTTTTTCTTTCAGGAATTTATGCTTTGTCATGATGAAGAACATGAGAAACTTTTTGACTTGGTTCGAAGGATGTTAGAATATGATCCAACTAAAAGAATTACCTTGGATGAAGCATTACAACATCCTTTCTTTGACTTATTAAAAAAGAAATGAATTGGAAATCAGTGGTCTTACTGTATACTTCTCTAGAAGAGATTACTTAAGACTGTGTCAGTCAACTAAACATTCTAATATTTTTTGTAAACATTAAATTATTTTGTACAGTTAAGTGTAAATACTGTATATTTTGTATCAATACAATATCTTGTTAAGCAAATGTGATAATTGATGAAACATAAAGGTGAACATTAATTTTCCTTTTTGAGCTTAACTATCATTTTTAAAGACCTTTGGAATATACTTTGTGTCCAGTGATAAATGTGATTGATCTTGCGTTTTTATACAATGAAAGTTGATTCTTTAAAGATTTTTTTGAGTAAAAGGAAATCTTTACTACTTTGTGCTCTGAATATTTTTATATGCTTTAGTTTTAGAACTTTTTAGCTACTTAATTTTTCATATAATTATTGAGTAGATTAGAAAAGTTATTAATTCTTGGTAGTACACATGAACATATTAGAAACCAAAATCTATAGGAAAATACCTATTTTGGGAAATCATATCATTAAATTGTGTGTATTAGATTCCTTCTCATTAAGTAGTATTAGTGGTAATGGTTGGCCTTAGAAGAAAGGTACTCACTCAGTTTTTTTCTCCCTGATTTTAATAAAACTCCGTACCTTTTTTTTTTCACTTGTGATTTCAGTGAAAGTTTACAAAAGATTGATTTTCTTTTTCTCCATTTATACACTTACTATTTGAGTGAAGGTTTACAAATCATACTGGTTTTCATGCATCTAATCAACCCCAAGAAACTGTTAACCAAACAGAGCAAGGGATCACTGCATGGCTTAAAATCAGGAAAGGTGTATGTCAAGGCTCTATCCTTCCCAATTTCTAGTCAGTCTGTATACTAAGAAAATTATTAAGCTAGACTTTTTAATGAAGAGTGTAACATTAGGATTGGGAGAAGACTCAACAACAACCTGTAGATGTAGATGAAACAACTTTGCCTGCTGAAGGTGAGGAGGATCTTGGACATTTGCTGTATAAGATCAAGGACCACTGCCTCAATAGAAATCCTTACCTTTGGCTAATTGGGAAACATTTTCATCTATTTCATTTTGGTTGGATGAAATCCAACACCCTTGGTACCAGCAGCTAGGAGATGAATAGTACTGGCAAAGTCTGCCATTAGGTATCTTTCCAGTCTTGAAGAGCAAAGATGTCAGTTTATAGAATAAGGTGCATCTGATCCAAGCCACATTCTTTCCAATCACCTGCTCTGCATCTGAGCTAGATAATGAAAGACAGGATAAGAATCGAAGCATTTGAGTTGTGGTGTTGGAAAAGAGTGCTGAATATCCCATGGACTGTCAAAAGAACAGAAAGGTCTTGAAGAAAGTGCAACCAGAGTGCTCTGTGGAGGCAAGGATGACGAAACTTCATCTCACATACTTTGGGCGTTTTGTTAGAGGTTATTTCTTAGAGAAGAAATATGTTTGGTGGAGAAGAGCCTCTTGATGTAAGAGTCTGGCAGTGCACTCAAATGTGTCAGGATTGATGATGGTGCAGGATAGGAAAGGGTTCAGATCTGTTGTTCATAGGGTCACTTTGAGTATACTTGACAGCACTTAACAGCAGTCAACCCTTTATTGCACATTTTGTTTTAGAACAGTTCTTACTGTGATTTTTTCCCCCTCATTAATCCTTTCTGTCCTATCCCTTCCTACCTTCTGGGCTTTATGCTGCAATAAATGCTACTCTTTTGATCTTGCATGGTTAATTATTCTAAGGAGTGAGTGTCTACCTGGTATTTTGTTTGCATCATAGACCAGTGGAACTAAAAGTTGAACCATAAGAATTCATTTTGCCAAATTCAAATGATGAGTAGTTCTACCTATTTCTGTTGGACCAGTTAAGTGCCATCTAGTCAAGTATTACCCAGCAGCCGTATGAATAACAGATCTGAAACTTGCCTTATCTTGTGCCATCCTCATTTCTGATAAACTTGAGCCCATTGTTGCAATCACTGTTGTCAATCTATCTTTTTGAGGCTGACCTTTCCAAGCATGATGTCTTTTTCCAAGACTGGACTCTTCTTAAAACATGTCTAAAAGTACATGAGACAACACTTGATTTTCCTTGTCTCTGAAGAGCACACTGGCTGGATTTTCTCTAAGACATACTTATTCTTTTGGCAGCCCATGGCATATGCAGTACTCCAACATCACTAGTAAGCCAAGCTATTATCTGGGCTTGAGTTTTGTTTCACATTTTCCCCCACTCTTCATTCGGGTCTCAAGGACATGTCTCATTAATCCTTTTATTATAATCAAGTATTGTACAACAACTTACTCTTTCTATCCACCTTTGCTTCTTGTTCAAGGCATACTTTTTATTTAAGTCAACTGCAAAGTGAGCTTGGAACATCACATTTAATAAAGGCTACTTGGTGAACTACAAGCGTGCAAGCAGATTCTTGTGGCCTATTGGTGAGGAGTTGGTGTTGCCAAGCCACTGCATTACTATGTATATGCTTGCTGCTGCTGTCATGTACTTTCAAGTCGGAACCAACTGATAACTGACTCCAGTGGGTTTTCTAAGGCAGTAAATACCATGGCAGATTGTTCATCTTTCTCCCTTGGAACAGCTAGTGAATTTGAACTGCGCACCTTTGGGTTGGTGTCGGAGAAGAGCTTTTGGTTTTTTTTTTTTTTGTTTTTTAGCTTTTGTTTTTTAAATCATAAGCAACTTTTATGCAGGTTTATTTCCCTCATACATTCCTTCATTGACATTATGTTTCATACAATCATTCCCATACATTGTGTTTATAAAATTAATCACCATTGGACTATGCCCACAATTACCTGATCTTTTCAAGCTCCCACCAGATCAGTCCCATTTTCTTTACCCTCCTCCCTCCATCCATCAAATTGTGCAACCCTGTGATTTCCCTCCTCATCCTCTGCTCCCACCTCCTTGGACCTCTGTACATGTTTTACTAGTTATCCTTCCATTTTTATAATAATGGTCTTCATGCAGTATTTGTCCTTATGAGACAGTTCAGTCAGCATAATGCTCTCCAGTCTTTCCCATGTTATGTTGTAGTTTTTGAAATCTCAAATAGTTTCTCCTAAATTCTGCATAATATTCCATTGTGTGGATGTACTATAATTTCTCAATCTAATTGGTTGTACTGGAGACTAAGGTGCGTCTGATACAGGCCATGGTCTTCGCAATC